CCCCCCCCCCCCCCCCCCCCGCCGGGTTTCGAGCCCTGTGTTTGTCGGAATAATATCAACAAATAGGTAAGCACCGGCAAGCTAACAAATGTCAGTTACTTTTTTGTGGTTTCAGCCTTGTTTTCCTCTTTCTTCTGTATCTGAGTATTACGAAAAAAATAAATAAATAAATAAAGTCGGGAACTATTAATTCAAACAGTCAAAGACGATACAAATCATATTTGTAGTGCAGAATGAGTGTCTGAACATTAATTACTTCTCACATGTATATCACTGCAGCAGATTACAAAAAATGTAAATGTAATTTCAGAGATTTTCTAACAGTAACAAAATGCTCTTAGTACCTCTTTCTTGTCACCCTTTACAACTTTGCTTTCTGAAAAAAGTAAAGGAAATGCCTTTGAAAGGAAAGACAGACAGACAGACAGACAATCCAAGACGTTCACGTCCCTAACTTATTCTGGACACAAGTGTTTGAGATCATTCAGCTACTTGCGGTGGCTATTGTAAATGGCCAGCAGTAATCTCTGGCATGCAAATGAAACCCTAAAACACCAAAATATAGGTAATGCTCTCTAAGCAAGCACTCAAAATGTAAATGCCTAAAAAAAATTATATAAGTCCTCCTTGGATGCGGTAATAAATAACAAAGGAGACTAAATGAGATGCGTACTGCTGAGTTTGTTAACAATCATCTAAAATAAAATAAGGGTGAATGGGATAACTGTTTTCGTATTTTATTCTATTATTTTATTTATTTATTTATTTATTTATTTATTTATTTATTTATTTATTTTTGTTTTCTAATTGGCTGGATGATGTGGACATTTCAGTTTGATCTACACCAAGTGAAAAATTGAAAAGAAGTCAAAGGAAACATGAGTGGAAAGCGAGCGAGAATAGAGATTTCTGAAATGTCCGTTGCATAATCTCCCCTAAGTTGTCTATATTCTTGAAAACCAAGTCGAAAGCTTAGCGGGGAGATCTGAAGCACTAGCATACTTGTCTCAGGCTGCTGTCATCATCATTTTGTTGTATGTTGAAACTTACAAGCCTTTTCGGATAATGTTTTGTATCCCTGTTGCGTTTTGTGGTCCCAGGGATGGACTGTTTTCTCTTGTATTCCACATTACAAAGCTCACTGACTTCAGTTCCTACAGAACTGTGGTATACCACCAACAACAAAATTTTTTCATTCCCTACTTCCTGCTTCCTTCCTTTAGTTGGGACTGTATTCAGATAATTAACAATTATTGCAAGAGGCTGAGCAAAATATCGTGATTTGCCAGAAGCACACACATCAATAACTAATTAATTAATAATTGATCTGCGAGACACTGACAAATCGCGATAATCTGCGATAACCGAGTTCAATAATTGTTTTTTACACATATCATTCGATCACCAAGTTTTGTTTTCATAATTATTTTAATCACTCTTTGACAGCTCAGGGAGGAGATCTGCCATTTTTCTTACAAGAGTGTGGTTACAACTATGCATGAGCAGAACATTATTTGCAATAGAACACATTTAGACGGCATTACGCATTCATGAACAGACCTATATTTGTAGGCAGTTGTTTCCCGGTCACGTAGTGGTGTAGGATTTCGGCCTATTGAAAGGGAGGAAAAATGCATCAAATGATATGGCTTACCTGCAGAATCCGACTTGATAGCTTTTGAAATTTCTGAAGGCAAAGGATCCTGCAAAAATTCAACAGCGAATTATCGAAAAGAGACTTAAGTATGTAGACTACCACTTCAAAAAGTCATTTCATAACTTTGTGTATGACACCGAGGAGTGACAAGCAAAGCCTAAAGTACAATGTTCATGCACATTGTTAAGACTTAAGACTTAAGGAAGTACAAGTTAAGACTTAAGTATTTAAGGTAGTCCTTTATATAAGCCTTATTTACTTCTCTGGGCTCCCTTACCTATAATATATATATTGATGTATTGTTATCATATTTATAACTGGCAAAAATAAAACAAACAAACAAACATGTGACATTTGCTCTGGCAAGCATGAACAGCAAATCCCAACAGCTCCTTATCTACCTCTGGTTGAAAGTTTCTGTCAACTGCACATAGCTGTCAATGTTCCAGTTTAATTAAAAGCAGCTAACTACAATTGTCATTGTTATGCATGTGTGCAGGCTTTCATCAGTTGCCAGGGAATAAAAAGTACCGTTGAACCCCTATTAATCAGCCACCCTCTCAGAAATGGGAGGTTGCCGCTTAAAAGGGGTTTGTCAGGAATAAGCACGCTTAGTAGAAATGTCAATTTATTCATTAACATGTACAAACATGCTTTAGGGTAGCATCAAATCATGTAAAGACAATTATAATGAATGTGTGTTTGAATGTTTTTATCGGTGATCACTTTCTATGTTGGAATCTTATCTATCATCCCCTCATCCAAAACAAAGCCAAACTATGTGTATTATATTTTGGGTGGCTGCTTAATAGGGCATTAGGCAATAAAAAACCCTCACGACAACAACGAGAAGGTAACCACGGCTGCTTAATAGGTGTGCCTGGTTAGTGGGGGCTTTATTTACAGTATTATACAGACAACAATTTCAAGATTTCGATGACTGGCCACTTAACAGGCAGTGGCCACATACATACAAACATACATAAACTTTATTTCAGTGTCTAAGAGATTTAGTCTTGAAGGTTAATTGTGGACACTAAATAAATAATTACATTGATAAATTAGCAGATTGATAAATATATAAAATTACATTATCTACAGCAGAGAAAATTTATACATCAGTAAGATAAAAGAGATGGCCACTTAATAGATGAGGTATGAATTCACGTTCTGGAAACTTGTCAAAGAATGTAGAATCTCAACTGACATTGCCTTGAGTTCTAGACATAACATACGTTACAGTATGTTCTGGTCAAAGCTAAAGAGAAATCAGTGATACCTACACAAGGCTAACTTAAAGCTAACCTTGTCTATATCTCATCTCATTTCTCTTAGATGAGTTCTTAGACTTTCAAGGAGAGTTTCTCATTATATGAGACACTGAATCAAGAGGCAGTATTATTTCTTTTTATTACTACTTCTATTGTAACTTTTTATTTATTTACTAATTTATTTATTTACTTATTTATCTATTCATTTATTTATGTATGTATTTATTTATTTATTTATTTAATATTTGTTTATTTATTGATTGATTGATCTGCCTCTCAAGACAGGAAATACTATATCTCACAAAAATCACTGAAGTGGCAATTTTGAAATAGATAAGAAATACTCAATTTTTCTGTGTGAATAATAGCAAAGAAAGATTTCCTATGTTGTGATCAATTTATTTTTTACTAATCATTAAATGCCTTACTTCCTCATCATCCTCAGGAGGCAATTCTCTGCAAGAGAAAAAGCAATTATGAGCCTGTTATTTGTGAAGTTTACTTGTCAATGGTGTAGTTTATTTTTCAAAATTATGCTTTATAAAACCCAAAAGGTGAGTTTTAAATAATATATAAAGCCTTATTGATAGAGTGCATTTCAATACACTCACAAACCTACAGGAGTATAATTTATCTTAATGCAGAGCATACTTGTACATGTATACAACATACATGTACGCTACTGTACAAAACATTATGCCAGTTTAACCGACTTCTTTATAAATTGTATAGTTAATTTTTGATCTCAGTCAATTGTTCATTTTTTCAACTATATGTGGTTTGGTTTCTTTTAGTTAGTTCCTTTACTTCAATTTATCCCTAGTCAATAATCATTATTGAATATGGTTAACGAACAAGAAGGAAACAAACCACACATGGTTGAAATAAAAAAAAAAATTACCTCAGTACAAACTGAGATAAACAATAACTACAACACATACTAATGGACCCTACTGTAATTAAATTGACTTAATTTAAATAAGTTCTAATTAAATACATACCAATTTATACCCCTTCCTACATGATTCTGATAAAATTCTTGAATGATTTTTTAGGTTACAATCTATAATTTATTTTTCTTGTCCATATCAAGTCACATACTCTTGTACCTTTTCTTTTCACTTAGACTTTTAGCAGTATCATTCTGCTTCTTTGGTACTGTTTCTGTTTTTTTTGAAATAACTTCCTTGTCTTTTTCTGTACTGCCTGGCTTTTCTGAAGCTTTTTTGACTATGAGAGCAACAAAACAGCATAGACTTTATTGAATTTTATACAATTAAAAAAAAGGTACTAAGAATATAATACACTTTAAAATGTATGTAAGGCCCAGTTCAGACGCTGAACTTTTCATGAGCTTAACCTACTACGTTGAATTAAGTACATGAAAAGTTTAGCGCCTGAAGCAGTTAAGAACAGCTATTTGAATTTGGAACGGCTCAGCCGTTTGTCCCGCCTTGCTCAGTAGGGAATTTCGGCTTTGGAACGGTTTTGATTCAGACATCGAACTTTTTCATGCGCCGAACCCAATGCATACACCTTGCTTGAAAACCGCTGACATTTCGATGTGTTTTGGTTCAAACTAAATTAAGTTCGGCGAATTACATTCAACGTCTGAATCAACAGGTGGGTTGGTCCAAATTTGAATTAAGTTTGGCTCATGAAAAGTTCAGCATCTGAACTGGGCCTAAGGATCAAAATAATCACACATATAATTTCAATCATATCATTCCTTTATAATTTATATGTAATTTCAAAACTACATGTATAAACTACAGTTGTTCTATAGACATACATGTACATGTACAAGTAAGGATCAACATTGCTGAAATACTGCACTGGAAAAAGCTATATGTGTATGTACAACAACAGAATAGTTTGACTGGTAAAAACCACTTGCAAAACCAAACATGTATTGTTAGCATGTAAATGTGTATCACATGCCTTTTAAGTAACATGATGAGAGTAAACATCTTATTTGTAGCCAACTATTAAGACTGTATGCTTACTTACATGTGTATCTAGGGGCTAGGGGTGCTTATGCCCTTTTTGCCTGACTTTTACAGCCCTAGTGTATGGGTACATTGTACAAATTAAAACTGGAGAAAAATGTCGCTAAAAATGTCACTTGGTTTAGTGAGAGCAAAGGGATTGAAGTAATGATTGCAAAGTATACCTAAGCTAATAATTATAATTATTTCACATACCAGTTGTAGCTTTTCCAAAAAATGATGACTTAATGCTTCCAGCTTTGTTGCTGTCTGTTTTTCCTTGTCCAACCTTTGGCTTCATAACAACCAGTTAACAGCATTAATTTAGTTAGAGAGCATACCATTAAATTTTATCAACACTTTCCATGTCACAATTCTGGATACATCCATAGAGCTTCAGCTTTGGCCATGAGGTTTATAACTGAACATTGCGATTTGTACACTTAAGCCCACAGCACAGTCTAATGGCCCAACCCTACAGCAAGGCCTTTTATTTCATTTCACCTCCCTCATCCCAGACCTGATCTCAGGGCAAGTCCACTGTCTAAAATAAACAAAACAAGACAAGGGGGCATGGGTGGGGTGGGGGGATGATTGTTGTATAAGCACCTTTAAAGTGTAAAATGTATGACTTGGTGCTGTTTAGGGTAAAAAAAAAAAGGTGAAGTCTGCATACAAGCCAAGTGGCTCATCGGGCCAGAGCTTATCCTGGTTTTCTGCAGCATGAACAACTAGGAGTATTTCTACTCCCCCTGGATTGCATGCTAGTCCACCGCATGGTTACCCTTCCAGCATTAAATTTGCCGGTACCCTTTTATACACCTACTGTAGGTGGAGAGAGACACTGTGAGAGTAAAGTGTCTTGCCCAAGAAAACAACACAATGTCCCCAGCCAGAGCTTGAACCCGGACCACTCGCTCTGGAGTCGAGCGCACTAACCATGGGGCCACCGTGCCACCCGGTGCTCTTTAGGGAGCCACCTGTTTCAATCAAAATGACTGACTTCAGTGAGAAACAAAGACAGGAACTAGTTCTGTTTTAAACTTGGTTCCCCTTAGATGTGAAAATGACACAATATCACATAATTCTGGTACCTTTTCATGGTTCATTTTGAAAAGTCTGATTATTATTAATGTCAGTTTTATATGAGAGTCCACCTACTCCCTCACCCAGTTTGTACATTGCCATGCATCCGCCATTGTCAATCATGGTCAGTCAATTCAACTTAGGGCTCACCTCTTCACAACTAGCATCATTTGAATCTTGTGGTTTTTCACTCTTGCTTTTCTCTGGTTTCGAAGATGATGGTTTTGCTGCAAACATTGATTCCAAAGCTGACATCTGTCCTTTCTTTGATTTTGGGCCGGGTATCTGAAGTTTCGAGGCACAGGTAAGGAAAGTTGTAATGCAACTAACATGTATACATGCATGTGGAGTAAGTGTTCTCATGACAGAAAGATGGATGAAACAACAGATAGATGGATGGACAGAAAAGAGAATTTAATGGTTGGATGAAAAAAAAAATTCATAAATAATTTCAATTAAAAAAAAATAAATGAATAAATAATAACAAACAAACAAGTCAGGGGCACCCAACGGATCGTTTCGGTAAATTATCTGTTCAGAAGGCCTTTAATCCCCTCTGATTTTCTTGAGAGAATTGGCACCTCGAACTTTCGTGATATGAGAAANAAAAGCCCTAATAAATTCGAGAATACTCAAGTTCCCCTAGAATATCCGAACAGATAAAATTTTTTTAGTGCAACCTAAAATTAACCTACAGAGCTTTAACAGTACTCCAGATAGCCTAAAACAGCATCTAACAGCATTAGAGAGAAAACGGTCGTTGGGTGCCCCTGACAAGTAAATTAATAGTAAATGGAAAGAGCAACTAAAGAAAATAATGAACATAAAATAACTGCAATTACTGGGTTTTACTAAAATCAGATCAAATCAAATCAAGTGCTACATGTATAAATCACAAACAAGTTGACTAGTACCTTCCCTTTTTGCTCAGATGCCAAATTAGAAGTACCTTACAAATAAAACAAAAAGAGAATATCATTATTTTGACTGTTCATAAGTATGTGCACTCAAGAGTGACTCCCAATGGTTGTCTATACCTTTCTGAGTTGTACCAGGCTCACAGCTTCCATTAACCAGTTTAATGGTGGGACATTTCTCGCCATTTGCCAAACCATTAATTCTCCGGGTACCTCTACTGACACCTTTATCTGCCAGAGGAACAGCAGCTGAACAGTGAACATGACTCCACCTATAATGCACCCAACAGACAATTGAAGAATCAGTCCAGTTCAAACTGAACCAGTGGTAGGTTCACATGCATCTTGAAATACCTATCGGTCAACCTATTACTAACACAACAGACTATGTTAATTAAGAGGGCCAATTTCTAAAATCCACCAATCAGATTGCTCCAAATTGTCCAATATTAGGATCATGTATACTAAAGGCATCCACGGTTGAGTGTCGATCAATAGTCTCAATCGATACTCTCGATAGACACTCGATCAATACTCAATCAACATTCCATTGACACCTCAGTTGATACTTGATTGATGCTCGATCCACATCTTGGTTAAACAGTGGGTCGGAAGTTGACCATTTTTCAATCGATGCATATGAACCGGTTGACACCCAGCCGACTATGTATGCATTGACCAAGTATCGATCATGACGCTGATCAATGGGAATCCATCTAGAGTATCCATTGACACTTGACCACGGGTGCCTTTAGTACACATCATGATGCCAATATTGGACTGAGCAGTTTTATGGTTGACATCTCCGACAGAACTTGCTTTCACATAACAGATTTCTTTTCTTTTTCTTCCAATCCTCTTTCCCTTCTGTTTTGTTTAACATCAGAAGTGACTATACACCTCTTCCAATCAGAATTGCATGCTTCAAGTTTGCAATGTTGTTTTCTTCAGTCTGTGATTGTGGCATTTTTTCCCAAACATTTTTAGTTATGTAATAAATCTCTTATAAACCAAGCTAGTTGGGACCATATTGGGGGAATGTCAGCCCTCTGCCTTTTTTGTACAGACCTTGCTGCAGTCAGTCTGTACCATCAAGACCTTGGGCTGTTCTATTCTCAATGTGCAATGTATAGCCCTCTCGTTTGGTTAAAAAGAAACATAAACAAATGAAATGTGAAGATAAATTCATGTAGATCCTGTCATGTATTAGGTTTATTGCAAATTGAAGCACATGGAACAGAATGCGCATAAGTGCGCATGCTCATAATGTCAACCACTGGCTCAATACACTACAGATCCTGTTAAGAGTCCCTGTCCATAAAAATGGAAAATAACTCGGCAAGGGTCGAAAATTCGATTTCACTCATATTTTCATGGTAGATAGGCTAGGGCATG